GCAGAGGGAGCAGGTTTCCCCCTCCCTCAGGAATGCAGCCAGCTCCAGTTCCCTAAAGAGACAGGCTGAGGGTGTGGTCCCCTGTGTGCTGGGCCCACCCTAATTGAATGGTCACAGCACAGAGATTTAAATCACAGTGTCACAGGGCAGAGATTTTTGGGGAGAAACCAAGGTGGCTTTCTGCCACACAGCCCTCCAGCCAGTTAGTGACCCATCTGACTGTGTAGGCATCGACACTACAGTTTCCTAGTTTTATAATGAGAATGGGGTGAGAGACTATGTCGAAGGCCTTCCTAAAGTCCAGAAAGACTATATCCACCATGCCACCTGCATGCAGGGATTTGGTGACCTGGTCATAGAAGGCCACCAGGTTGTTCTGACAGAACCTGTCTCTAATGAACCCATGTTGGTTGCCCCTAAGCATAGTCTTCCCTGCTGGCCCCTTGTGGACACTGAAGTGGTAGGTAGGATAAGTATCTCCTGCAAATGGCCAACAGACGTTTCCTGAAATTTAAAAAAAGAAAAAAATTAAACTCCAGCTGTACATTTCAAGCAATACAGGCAGAACCTCCAATCACACACAGCCCTGCTGAAGTCAAGGGGTCCATCCACAGAGACCCAATTGCAGGATCAGGCCTAAGAGCATTTTAGATATTTTTCAGACTTAATTTAAATGATTGAATATATTTTTGCATAGGTTTAGAACCAAAGACTACAGCAAAAATCATACATTGTGATAAATATTATAGATAAGTAAAAAATATATAATTTTTGGGGGGGTGGGGGCTTACAGTCTTTATTTCAACTTCATAGATTTTATGTACTTTATCATCCTTTGCTGTGCCCTGGAAGTTGCATGTATTAATCTTTATTTTTTGTTCATCTCATTATCATCTATGCTGTATGGTAAATTGTAAATACAACAGCCTCCGCTCCTTCAGTTCGGATAGGTCTTACACTCTGAACCGAAGCTCTTATGCACGGGACAGCATGATGATTGAAGAGTTGCTGGTGCCATCAAAGGACCAGGTACGTGGTAGCTATCTTGCTTTTTTTGTAAAGGCTCATGTTCTTCAGCAAAAAGCATAGCAGCACATCAGTTAAGACATCTTGCTATTGCTGCAGAGGTATGAGTTTAAGCCTTGCTTAAACCAAAGGCTATCAAGTTGCTCCAGTTATAAAAGAGAACCTGGTCATTTTGGCTGAGAAGTCAAAGGCAGGTGGATATGCTGTTGACTGCACCATACCCATATGAACATGTGCTGTTCGCAACAGGACCTGGAGTGCCTTAACTACACTATCATGCTGAGCCAAATGTTCTTAGCTGGATCTTTAACCTTGACACTTTACTGTGCTTTCACAATACTTCCTAAGACTTCCACTGTTCCCTCCATTTCCCATGGGGGAAGGAAAGGAACTGAAACTAAGGACTGGAACACTTTTGCCATCAGTGAGTTTCATCTTGCAAGATGCTGAGCACTCAGTGGGACCACAACGGTGTTTAACAATAAATACTCCTTAAATGGTTGCTGGATTAAGGTCAGCATTCTCAGCACTTTACAGGATTGAAACCTAAATTCATGTAAATTCTGGCAACTTTTTATATAGTAATATCAAGCAGCTGGGGGCTGCATACCCTGTGTGTTGTACCAGTGACCACATGCTGCGCAACCCACACAAAAGTAGGCCCCTGCACAACATGTCATGTGCATACCCTTGCTGTTGCATGCCTCCCTCCCCGCTGCTGCAGCACTTGCCCACAAGGACTCAGACTCACTCTGTGCTTTCTGTGCCACATTGACCCACTCCCTGGGGTTGGGGCAGGGCACAGAAGCTGGAGGAGGGAAGGGGAGCTCAGTTTCCAGCTACTTTTGTAGCTGAGCAATAGGGGGAGCAGTGTCTGAATCGGAACTGGGGACTGCAACATAACCCATCATAAGCTGCATGCAGCCTGTGGGCTGGCAGTTAAAGAACCCAGACATAAACCATGGACTAGATTCAGCCATTTTGTACATTTGTAAGACTTCAGTTGTTTTGTTTCGCAGAAGTCCATTTGGCCTTGTAGTTATAAAGCTATTCTCACTAACTGGTTTACATAGTTTAAACATTTGTACAATTGCTAATACACCTGAAGTTGAATCTAGAATTGGTTACAGTGTGGGAAAATAATAATAGAAGGTAATACTGGTCATAGGTGCATGCTATATGCTTTAATTTATGAGTTCCCTACATTGACTCTCTTTAAATATTTTAATCCAGCTAAATTTCTCAACTGGTACTACAACAGAAAAGCCATAATCCTGTTCAGAAATTAAATAGAAATTCATATAAGAACATGGGTGGAAAAAAAGAACTTTGATGTAGTGTAGTTTACACCCTGGAAAAGGGGCTTAAATAACACTATAATAATGCCTAGACCTTTTGGTTGTCCTTTTATACAGTCATGTATATCACCTATTTAGAGTGTATTTTAATATATAAGGTCATAGAAATGAATGGGGGAAAGCATTGATGCACGGGGTTTTTGGAATGTTGGTAACATATATTCATTAGGGGTGTGCAAAGTGTTGCTATTTGATTCAGATTAGTGATTCAATTCGTTGATTCAGATCACTGTCCCTGATTCGATTCGGCCGAATCTAAATCTGAAGATTCGATACTGATTCAGAGAATCAGCGATTCAGACATAGACACAGCTTTAAAAGTTTTTTCTACGTACCTTGAGGTAGCAGGCTCAGTTCATGATTGCTGCAATGCTGGGATGCATGGAGCATCCCACAGAAATGCAGGGGGCCCTCCATGTGCTCAGTGGCAAACCTGGAAGCAGACCAGAAGTAATTCCATTCCACTTCTGGGTCTACTAGGGAGCACACTGGGGGCTCCCCCCCCCCCGGCATCCCGCTCAACTATCAATCCCGGGTGCCCCCCCAGACCCAGGAGGTAGCATTCACCAAGCCAGTGAGGTGTAGGGGTCCCCCCGTGCACTTCTTGGTGGACCCAGAAGTGGACTGAGCATGCTGGGGAGTGCTTCTGGCCCATTTCTATGTCTGCTGCTGAGCATGCTGGGGAGCCCCCTGTGATTCTGTGGAACATTCCATGTGCCCCAGCATCACAGCATTCACAAGCCCCTGATACCTAGAGGTATGTAGATAAAACAGTTAAAGCTGTCTCTATGTCCAAATCTTTCCGAATCCCTCCAAATTGATACAGAAGGTTCCAATTCAATTTGGAGAGATTAAAGGGTCCTCTGATTCGATTCAGATTCGGAGGTTTGGAGTTTTGACCACCAAATCGGGCTGGATCTCTGCCAAATTGAATCAGGGAACAAAGTTTCAAACAGCCCTAATATTCATGCCATATTTTATTGCCCATGGGTAAAAAGGTTTTAAATCAAAATTTGGGACATTTGAAGGTACTAACAATAATGGAAATCACATGTAATCTAATTAGTAAAGTAACTAAACATAATGTGTTGTTGGTATCTAGTGAAATGTGGTACTTATTGATAGTATTTATTTAAAATAGGAAGTTAAGGATTATTTCTGGTTACTGTGTAGCAATAATATACTGTATTAAAGTAGCTTTAAACTCAAAGTAAAACATGCTACTATAGTTTACCCCATGAAGTAGGGCACTGCATTTGGTTAAATACTGGCAGGCCTCCAAGCCTTTGTAGACTTTCACAGAAGTTACCGGTGGGTGCAGAGATCTGTGTGTATGGCTCTTCACAAGATTTAGGCCTAAATGGTAGTGATAATTTCTTTGTTTTGAGCCTTGCTGCAGTTAAAACTGAGGTATGTGGCAGCAATTAAACAGCAAAAATTTATATTAGATCAGTGGTGTTCATGGATCCCTGCTACCTAGAGGTATGTAGAAAAAAGATTTAAAGCTGTCTCTATGTCCAGATCTCTACACGTACAAATACGTGTCCAGCTGAGACCTGGCTGAAAATATAGTAGTAAAAGTTATTTTAATCTCAACCTGCTATAGAATCCTTATGCCGTAACCCTTATTATATCCAAAAAGGATCCAAAGTGTGATCATTACTGTAAATATGAAAAGAATATGAATCACTTGCTTCAGTTACAGATGTCCATCCCAGGTAGTCAGACTGATAGATGAGTAAAACCTTGAAACCAGTTAAACCAAATAGTAGCAAACCAGCAACCTGTCTATATATGAAAGAAACCAGGACAACCAAATCAAAAGTTCTCACCTTGGCACCAGGCCTGAAATACAAATCCATACTCTGAGTCTCCACAAACCTCAAATCTGCCCAAACACGTTAAAATACATGAGTTTAAATCAACACATTTGAACTAGTTAGGGCAAAAAGGGAGAAATACAGAAATCACAGGACCCTTCTAGAGAATGCCTTAGCACAGCAGATCTTTCCTACGTGTCATCTGATCTCTGCTGCAGTAGAAGCAAATAAGGAAAAGATGGAATCTCCAGTATACCAGTCCTAAGCCACAAAGGCCTTTATAATTCGAGAATGTGTGTGTCTACATGTTACAGGGGTATAGATTGTAGCCATGTTGGTATAAAGACATAGGCAGACAAGGTTCTTTGGGTGAACCTGATAATTTTTATTAGACCAACTTAAATAGTTGGAAAACAATTTTTAAGCAAGCTTTCGGGTTCAAAAACCCTTCGTCAGGCTAAGGAAGTTTCAGCAGTTGGTGTGTGCTCTTCCTGGAGGGAATAAAAAGTCCATTTCCTACCTGTGTGCAAGTGTATCATTTTCTAGATATGTTACAGTGATATTGTAGCCATGATGGTCCAGTAGTTACGTGAAAGGCAAGGATTTCTTAGGATGATACATTTTATTTGGGCCAACTGCTTAGTCAGGATAGAATTAGGTGCATCTACATGTAGGCAGGGCTGGAGGAGGGTGGGGCTGGGCAGAAAATGGATTGGGGGGTTCAGGGGGCTGGCAGAGGGAGGGGCTGGGCAGGGAAGTGATCAGGGGGGTCTGGAGGTCTGGTGGCAGGAGGCGCCGGGCAGGGAAGTGATCGGGGGACGGGGGGGCGTTGATGTGGGGAGGGGCCAGGCAGAAATGTGATCAGGGGAGCTTGGGGAGCAGGCAGGGGGTGCAGTCGGGGAGGAGGGCTGGGGGAGTGGGCGGGGCCAGTGGGGGTCTCTCCATGGTCCCCTCCCCCCTCTTCCAGCCCCCCCCGACCCTTTACTTACAGGCACTGGAGCCCTGGTGCTGAACACATGGCCTGGCCTGCTGTGACTTCAGCGCCAGGGCAAGGGGCCAACCACAGAGACCCTCTGGCAGCCAGAGCATCTCCATGGAGGACCCAGCCTCTGGTTTCCCCGCTTTTTTAAACTTCAATTTTTTTAGACCACCTGGATATCCAGAGGTCTAATTTTCTCCCCACACTGCAGGGAACATTTTTTCTTTCCTGCACATGCCTCTTGCCCCATCTTAAAGGGGTTTGAGATGGGGTAAGAGGCACGTGCGCACTTGTCTGGATGTGCCCTATGTGTACTAAGTGATAGGCAAACTGAGTAGCAGTTTTCTTGGCACAGGGTGATAGTACACCCTGAATCTTTTAGTAGTATTCATATCATTTGGATACCTCACCATGAAAATATGGCCATATAGGATTTGATGACTTAAACAGTGGGATTAATTTTGAGGAAGGAAAGAAGAGGAAATTTATTGCCAAGGTGCTCTTCACAATCATAAGGTAAAACCAAGACAGGCCACTGTGCACAGAATGCTTGGAAATGAAGTATTAGGCACTAAAATAAACTTTTCACTGAAAAGGGTTTTATTTTGATTTCTACTCAGACCTTACAAAAAGGACGCATTTTCTTTGTAATTCACTAACATGTCAGGGAACCAGCCCTTGACATATTTGCAGCTGGAAGTCTGTCAGTATTAGTTTAGTATGGTTTTCCTTGCCTATATTTATATTTAAATTATGTAATTCAACTACAATACAAAAGAGCCAGCAAAAGCACCTGGGGGTAATAATAGACCACAGTATGAATATGAGCTGGCAGTATGACACTGTTGCCAGAAGGGCAAATAATACTCTGGCATGCATCAATCGATGCATCTCCAGCAAAACCAAGGATGTGATTCTTCCTTTCTACTCAGCATTAGTGAGACCCCCAACTGGAGTACTGCATCCAGTTCTGGACACTGCACTTTAACAGAGACATAGTAAAACTTGAGAGTCTAGAGAAGGGCCACCTGTATGATTAGAGACTTGCACAGCAAGCCATATGAAGAAAGGCTGAGGGACCTGGGACTCTTCAGCTTGAAAAAGAGAAGGTTGACAAGAGACTTGGTAGCAGCTTACCACTACATCAGGGGTTTACATCTAGGGCTCAGTGAACAACTGTTCATGAGGGCACCCATGGGGAAAACCTGGAGTAATGGCCACAACCTCCTGGAAAACTGTTTTGGGCTCAACATTAGGAAAACATCTTCACAGTTAGGGTGGTGTCCAGACTGTGGAATAAGCTCCCTCTAGAGGTGGTGCAATCACCTACCCTGGAAATCTTCAAGAGAAGACTGGACAGTCATCTGACCCCCCGTTATCTTTCCTGCTTGGTGCAGGGGGCTGGACCCAATGATCTTCCAAGGTCCCTTCCAGCCTTACAACCTATGAATCTATCAATAACTGTACCAGGTTAGCACGATATTTAAGAGAGTGAGTAGGAACAGCTAGCACTCCAGAAATAGTTTTCAAGCTAGTTCAGAAGGTCTGTAAGGTGAACTCCATATCACACCACAAAGACTGTGAAAGTCCATGAAATCCCAACTCCTGCCAAACCCCAAAGCTTATTCTGAATAAACCCTGCAGGCCCTATCCCTGCATGGATTCCTAAGGAATTTTCTGTCTAAACATTTTGTAGTGCCCATCACTATGGTATTTAATTGCAAGGTAAGTGGAAACAAATCTGTTTAGTTTAATCTTGAACTTGTGCATATATAATATTGGACCTCAATTTAGGGACAAGTTACAATGGTTCATGCAGCAAAACCAGAAAAGAAGGAAATTTTATAGAGTTGATTTTAACTTGCCTTTAAGAATTATGTGTTTCTGAGAAAATAATTGATGGCAGAAGATCAGTAGGACTGTGCCAAGTGAAAATGTATTTTCATTTAAGATAGTACAGTTGAGAGGTACATACTAGGCACAAATGTTTGACTTTTTATGTTGATTTTCAAATTTTTGTTTATCTTTTTTTAAAGCACCTGCCATTCCCAAGGGAATTTGATTCTGATTCACTCAGACATTATAGCTGGGCTGCAGACACCTTGGACAATGTAAACCTTGTCTCAAGTCCCATCCATTCTGGGTAGGTCACATTTTCTTTGTCATTAAATGTGAAACTGTACTGTTAACTGGAAATTATAACCTACAGCAATCAGTGATATGGAGTCTAGTCCTGTTCCAGTTGAACCCAGGCAACTCTCCAGGTTTTGCACTAGGCAAAACTCAAATTGACTTTAATGAGAGCACATAATAGGATTTGTGAAGCTGAATTCCTGCATATCATACTGGAAACGGACCTCCATATTTAAGTTTCTGAGTGCTAATAAAAGCTGGTTTCCCATAGAGCTTTTCATAGTAAGCCTGTTTTACTTTTGCTTGTGTTTTGATTTTTAAATGTTTTAGGATTATTTCAATTGCATTACATGAAACTATATTAAATATAAAATTAAAGATATGCTATGCTTACTGTCTCTTTTTTCCATAAAAATGGGGCCCTGTTAGATAATCTGTTATTTGCATCGCTGAAGTTCCTCCACATTCTTCCCCCAAATTAGTGTTTTGACATCAATTATACCATTCACTTACCCATAAAGCATCACTTTTACAACAGTGTCTGGATAGTACTACAAATGATTAAGTTAAATTACTAGAGGAGCAGTGTTTGTGAGATATGTTGAAGCTTACCCTAACATAAATTGTAGGGAAAAATTAACGAGAAAAGGAAACAAAATTTCATATTCTATCTTTTTCATTTTATGGCAAGCTCCATTAATTACAATGTAATGGGTGCAGTTAAAATAAAAAAACATAAGCAGAGTTAAGACTAAGGCCTATGCTTCTGTCTCTATGCTTCTGTGCCCCAGTCACACAAGGCACATAAACATGTGTAGCTACTATGGGGGTCCAGGAAAGGTGGTCCTTCCTCAAGGAGGCTATCCTTGGGGCGCAGCAGGACACAATTCCACTGCGCAGGAAGGCGGGAAAAGGGTCCAAGAAACCTTCATGGCTGAGCGCGGATATCCAGGCTGGCCTGAGGGCAAGCAAAAAAGCGTACTGGTGGTGGAAGCAGGGGGCAGGGACCAAGGAGGAGTACACCTCCCTGACCTGAGCTTGTAGGGATTTGGTAAGG